GGTCAAAGGTCCTACTTCATGTTCCCTCTTTCCCTGGCAGCCTCAGACGGGATGGACCAGGAGCCAGGAAAGCAACTCACGAGCCACAGCAGAGCAGCCTGGTGTTTATAGCAATCACCCCCTAGTAGCAAACCCCCAACCCTTGCAAGGGCAGTAGCAAGACTGTTATTTCTTTACTATAAAGAGTTCTTTATGCAAGTTCCTGTAAATAATGTTGTTGCCACACCACAAACCTCATCAAGATACTAGTGACTAAATGCAGTAGCTCACTTGCCCTGAGCCAGCTCAGTTGCTGGTTCAGGCAGCATCCTGAGACGCTCCTAGAAACCAGCAACTTTTGGTTTCCCTACTGCCAGATGTGGCCGTGCTTTGTTTTGCTGAACTTCATCGTTAAACTTTGCATAAGAGTCATTATCACTTGCAAATATATGTTCTGTACAGAGTGATTTCAGTGCTGTGGCTGAAACTTTGCTTTTGCATTTGATCTTCAGAGTAAGAGACCCTGAGGCCAGTTCTGAACCCAGGTCTCCTGCCCTTCTGCAAGCTGTGTGGTTGCATCACAAACTAGTTTGAAATTAATAGGAATTGCCAAGGACAGATTTCTCTTTTGTTTGGGAAATTTATTTCCTACGATTCTGTCTTCTTACTGGATCAGTACAGTTATATCAGAATAAAGTAAAAAAGGTGCCAGTTTTTCCATTATAAATCTAGTTCCTCAGAAGTTTTATACCTTCACTGTAGACTGAAACTTGGCATGCGTGATCTTGGCCCTGAATTCAAGCTTTTATTTTTATTTCTTCATTAACTTTTTATTAGTATAAACAGGATACGAGAAAAATCTCTAATAATAAGTATGTAGCAGAATGTTGCATTCTAGTCTTAGAAAGTAGTTAAATATTGGGGAATACAATCAAGCCAAAATCTTATTTTTGCATAGGTAAAGCTCTTGGAGAGAAGATGCGTAAAATGTATGCATTTTCATGTCACATAAAGGACAAAATGTCACACCTTTCACCCAACAGACAGCAAAATGGAAAAATTCCAGCAAACATCTAGATACTAGTATTGATGCATTGGAGTGCACCAAGAAATCTGAGTTTAGTTAACATTCCAAAAGCTTCCAGTAATCAAGTTTTATTTAATACTCCAAAAAAAAACAACACTTCAACTGCTGACAGTATTCAAGAAGTTTGACAGCATACTACTTCAGTCTAAACACTTAATTAGTCAGGTTTAGTCTGATTAAATTCACTCTCTTTTCTGCTTTCTTTTGTAAATGATTATTTCCTGATGGAATCCCTTTTGCTTTTGTCTTCCAGGACCTGCGCAAACAGGTAGCTCCATTATTGAAGAGTTTCCAGGGGGAGGTAAGAACATAAGTTTTTGTTTAGCTTCTCACTGTTGGTCTCCTTTATTTGCTGCAGGGGAAGTGGTTGTAGCCCTTCACAGGAGCTTTGTTGGGGTTAGGGCTGTAAGCAGGATGGGAGCACTGGAGGGCAGGGGGAGGTGGACAGATGTGGATGTGAAATATATATTTCAATACTTCTCCCACCATTCTTGTAACCCCCATATTTTCAGTTGTCTATGAAAAGAAGTGAACTAGACATGTTCCTGGGAGTTCAGCAGAATTGTGCTATTATGGACTATGACGGAAAATTAAATTCTAAAGCTGGGGGTGGAAACTGTCCACAGCATCCTCTCATTTATAACACTGAAGATCAATTCAGATCCCCACCTCATCTTAATTGTCGATGTTGGCATGGAGAGAGAATGTCTGTGTGATGTTTAGGAGTTAAATATAAGGTAATTTGTAAAGTATGTTAAGTAATATGGTGCATGAAATATGTATAAAACAGATACAAAATATTATAATATAATTGTAGCTTTCAGTCTTTAGTGTAACCTTTTCCTCAAATGTGAAACGTACACTAAGGAACTTGCTAGATCCTGCGGTTCATAGGTGATGTTAGACAATCAATAAAAAGTTTTAATAAAACTTTGTTCTTGGCTACGTCTTCTATTGCACTAGGCATCATTCTACTGAGAAAAGGGCAGTTAAAATTATCACAAATCAAAAATGAACTTGTGGCTGTTTTGAAGTATGGCATCTTCCTATGGGGAAAGGAAGATGCAGCCTATTGCAGAATTGTAGATTTAAGCTGTGATTGATGATGAAGCACTTGCTCTCTGTCATTTTTTCAAAGAGTACTTGGGCCTGACAAGAGATTTTTGCTTTGAGTTTAATGGATCTTGCATCTTTCCATAACGCCAGAAAAGCAAGAGGCTCTAAGTCTTTCTGTCTATTACTACTTTTCCCTCAAATTTCCTTTTGTTTCACTGCTGCCAGTGTCATTCTGTTTGTAGCAATGCCAAAAAGGCATGTATAGTTCAGTCACTAAGCAGAGCTATAAATGCATGGATGAAAATGTCACTGGCTAGGTGTGTACATGTGCAAACACCATTGGAAGCAACTCAGAACTATGAATAAAAGAGCTAATCCAGGAAAGTCTTGAGACTCTCTAACGTGTATGTGGGGGAAAACAATTCAATTTTTTTTCAATTCTGTGAAAAAGAGACACTTACATGTAAGTAACTATATCATCAGAGATAAGATCCATTTCAAAATATTGCATAGTTCTGAATTGTAACTCATAAAACACTTCTCAAAAAAGATTTGTGCATCAGAGGTTGGCTTGGGATGTAAGCTTATGCCTGGTTAAAGGTTGTAGATCTCTTATCCCAAAGGCTGTACCAAAGCTGCAGAGTTGTGTACTTTCTAAATCTATAATAAGCTGTAAGCTGATTTGTTTTACTATTTCAATTCCCGTCAGAGCAGTGAGAAATTTAGGAGTATGTTTTCCAAAGTCTGCATAGGGAATTAAGTGTAAACACTTATTTTTAACTAGGGTTACATTTCTGATTACTTGCACATCGTGCTCAATATGTACCCCAAATAGGCAATAATTTCTTAGTTTGGAAGCAGGGTGCAAGTTTTTAAAATGATTTCTACTTAATTTTCCATGTTCATAAAAAAAAAAAAAAATCACTCAAATGAAATCCTTAGATAAAATAGCAACATGTGAGGAAAAAGAATGACCTCTGTAAGTCAGTTTGACAATGGGAATTTTCACTTCCAAATTGCTTTGCACAGATTGTACCACTTAGACTTTTTCACTTTGCCTTCCAGCTTATACTGTACAGACTGGAGTGCACAGATATGGAGCAGTAATGAAGGGAATGTTGCTGGCTTGAGTATGAATCAAACTCTGCTCCTGCTACACTTAAAAGATTTCTCCCATTACACCCAGTCTGTGGGTGTGAACATACAACACATTTACACTGGTATAAAAGCAGATTACATGGGTATAATGGGAGCAGATATACACCATACAGTACTTGGTTGATATTATTCATTCATGGGTGTTCATTGCTGTACTAATGTAACAAAGCTTGTGTACAAATATTTTAATATGATTAATTACCAGAGTAAATCACACTGCTACAAGCCCCATCAGTACAGTGGTCTGCATTAGAAGATTGCATTGCTGTAACAGCATCTTTGTACTTACACTGGAAGCAATCTCTTGATTGTAGACAGGGTCTTAGGAGCTTTCATTAAACTTGATCATAACTACCCTCATCATATTGCAGACTACAAAAAAGAACTAAGAATGACTGATTCTCAAGCTTAATGTTTCTTACCCAACATGGAGTATGTGCCTTAATTTTGAATAGATTCATAGCCTAATGTCTGTCAAGCTATAATTTCATATCTAGAGCTAGTCTTTCAGTGTTGTCTTAAGACCAACTTGTTGTTAATTTGTGTGCTTGGAAATGCACAAATAAAAAGGGCTTTCAGCATGTAAGCTTTTACTCCAACTTCCAGAGATTTTCCAGAACATAATATACGTGCAGTTTTACTATATGCCCCTTCTGGAACTGATTTGTAGGGGTTAAAGTAGTGTGTGTGTCCGTCCCCATCCCCATCCCTGTCCCCGTGTTTGTCTCCCCACCCCTCCCTCCCAATACCTCTGGAGCAATTTGGTATGGTTTTAAAATATTTTCACCCATTGGAAACAGATTATTTTTTGGTATATAAAAAATAGTGTTAAAACTATATAGGAGAAGTCAGGAGGTGCTGACATTTAAAACTCAACTGTATGACATCCTTCTGCTGCAGGACTTTGTAATGGCAGTGAGCATGTTGCATACTAGGGTGCAGGGCTGTGCGAAGCTTTGGTTGCTGATTCAATTCAGAGGAGATCTGGCCTGATTCGGTGGCCAAATATCCAAAGTCAAATTGAATCGGGAGACCCATTAATCTCTCTGAATTGAATTGGAAGCCTCTGATTCAGTTTGGAGAGATTCGATGATTCGGCCTTAGACACAGCTTTATATGTTTTTTCTACATACCTCAAGGTACTGGGCATGACTGGTGAATGCTGGGTCAGTGGGGTGGATGAAGCGTCCCACAGGAGCATGGGGGCGGTCCCCACTCAGCGGCAGACCCGGAAGTTGATAGGAAGTACTTCCAGCCCACTTCCAGTTCCGCCACGAAGTGTGTGGGGGACCTCCTGTTCCCCCCCAGCTCAGTGACTGGCATCTCCTGGGTCTGGGGGCCACCCAGGGTCCCCCCGTGGCTGAGCCGGGGGCGGGGGGGATCCCCTGCACGCTTGGCAGCGGACCCAGAAGTGGACCAGAAGTGTTTCCTGTCCACTTCCAGGTTCACCGCAGGCCCCCAATGCTCGTGTGAGACACTTCATCTGCCCCACCATCTAGGCGTTCACAGTACCTTGAGGTACGTAGAAAAAAACATATGAAGCTGCATCTATGGCCAAATCTCTGATTCTCCAAATCAACATCAAATCTTCATATTCGGCTGAATCGAACCACTGTCCCCTGAATCGGGCCGAATCCAAATCGAATACGGGTTGCTTTGCATACCCCAACTGGGGAGCATTTTGGAGAAGGAGCAAGTGATGTTAGTGGATCTGGCATGGTTTGGAGAAGGTTAATTTTAAATAGCTTATTCTCAGTATTCTTCCTGTGCATGCTTTGTTGAGCATTCAGCACATGAGCCTGCAGTTAGCTTATTTCTTTAAACATGCCCACTTCTCTTCCAATAGTAAATTTTTTCCTTAGTTTTATCATGGAAATTATTAAATTGTCTTCTTTCTTTGTATTTCCCTTTTGTATATTATGGGTGAGGTATTATAAATATAAAAAACTCCTGAAAAAAGCCCCCAAAAGACGTATACGTATAACCAGAATGTTTTGTATTCTATAGATGTTTGCCTCAATTGGAGGAAATTGCAGATGAAAACTGTTTCAATTACCAAATATCCTATTTCCATTAGTTGCTGGAAAGAGCTGTTTTGATGTACAGATCATGGAGGCTTAAGTAAGAGTACAGATCTTTCATGGTGACATTTAAAATAAAAGCATTCTGAAACAGCCTTTACCATGCTACAAGCATTACAATACAGTGTGAGAACTTACTAAATTATATTAAAGCTTTTTATTATGGTACTCGTTCCATAATTAAGATTGCATTTGAATTTCCATTCATATCCCTCCCTTTAAAAGAATACAAATCATTGTACGTGCATCAAAGTAAATAGGTTAGATTGATTTTTATTTATTTATTTATTGTGTATCAATCAATAAGTTTGGGGGAAGGAGGATAGAGGGAAGTTAGTCTTGTGCAGGTGATATCAATTGGGTTGTGTGAGGAAGAGCAAAGGAGTTTAGGGCAATGGAGAATAGCTCAATTGGGTTGTCTAGGGAGATATAAAACTTTTGTAGAGAAAATAATTATGTTTCTGGGTGTTAGCTGGATTCAGTGGAAGTGCTCTTTCAACTTTACCTCTTAACTGGTCTTTTGGTTGCTTCAGGTAATAACTTGAGGGGCATATATAGGTAACTCATTATTCTAGGCTGAATAAAGGCCAGGATGTTAAAGGATAAAATGTTTTAAACATCTGATGAGACAGTTAGTTATTTTCAAATTAACAAGGAAAACCCTCAAGTTAATATTTATCCAAACCTTTTCCAAACACAATAGGTTGCTATAGGTTATGTCTATATAAATAGAGAAACCCTTCCATGTAAAATCCTAAATATAGCTGAAGAACATAAAGTTTTATATCAGTGTATGGAAAAAAAATTTCTGTGGAAATTTAATGTCCGACTCCATATTTGTGATGTCTTCAAGGAGATATTTTAAGGCTGGGAAAGGATTTCCTGGGGTCATTGGCATTCTTTTCATGTGGTGTAACAGTACTGTCCAACAGTAGCACAGTAATTCCTAATTTGGAGCATCCATTATAGCAAATACTCCAAAAGAACACATTGGCATTTCTGTGAA